ATCTATATTTAGCGATTCGGGGTTTTCCACAACAATTTTCCCCAGGGCAATCCTCGTGGTTGTATTGAAATGATAGCGACGGTGATATCCGAAAACCGTGGCGCCACCTAGCGGCCCTGGGATGAAGCTTAGCTTCAGTGGCTGGTACATTACTTTGTATACACTAATTCATTAGTTGCTACCCAGGGGCGACTCCCAACTTTTTTGTGATAAATACATCTGACCTGAGATGACAGTAAACCCTTGCGAACACCCAACGTCTCAATTTCTCTCGGACACAGGCCAAGCAGACTTCTGTGAATGGTCATATGCTAATACAATCGTTTTCAGTGAATATGGTGCCTTGGAAAATTGTGGAGCTCTCGGATACTGAGGTCACCCAAATCTCACCGAGGTCTGTTCTGGGACATCATAACATGTCTACACACTGTTACATGTAACGCCCAGGTCAGAGGTGAAGCCACCCAACAAAGGGAGGGAAATGAGACGACTGCTACGGATTAACTGTGAATGAGGTCTCGCCCAAAGTCGTGTCGATTCCAGCTTGGCAAATCCGCTTTCCTCCGTACAGAAGAGTGATAGCCCTTGGCGGCTTCAAATTTGCGTTGTGTGTGATTGCACCGAAACTCGTTACACGGTTAAGCTGGGTGATGATATGACACATCAGACTGACACTCCCTGTCGGAGTGTTGTCAACCGTTCCAGGAATGTGGAACAAAGAGTCACAGATAAGCGCTCTATGATGATGATGATGATGATGATGATGATGATGATGATGGTGATGATGGAGAAAAGTTGTAAAAAAGATCCAGTGTAGTCTTTGTCGCAGTCCCTGAACCATAATATTTCCCCTTCCGCCAAGCCCTTTCTGTTAAGCGAAAAAGCTGTAAATATAGGCTCCTTTTCAATCTAAATTGAGTTACATGCACATGTTTATATCAAAATTATCAATTTTCAGACACTAAGCGTTAGCCAAGGTCCAGTGCTACAAATGGATCTCGGTGCTACGACTGTCGCATCGTCTTATCGTTAAGATCATTTCGTAAAACGGGTCCGAGGGTATATACCAGCACGGATCTCAGCGTGTGTGTGACTGAGAATGTTTCATACATATATATGTAGACGTCATATAGCTTGAATATTGCTGAGTGCGGTATATAAATACAGGGTATCATTACGTCGAATATACATACACATGTAGATATTGACATATTTTATGCGTTGATTTACCAAATTCTAAACAATCTGTAAGGCTTCATGGCGTCTGCTCAATAATAAACCACGACGTACGCGGAATAATCAGATCATACAAATATGATGTAACGGTCAGTTTGACAAAATGTCTATATGAGTGAGTGAGTATGTTCTTCGGCGTATTCTGACACAGTACAAAATGTATATATTTTAAATGTGGTTAAATCCAAATCATGTTTAGATCTAAAACGTCATTCTTAACATGTGAGTGAGTGAATATGGTTTTACGCCGCTTTTAGCAATATACCAACGATATCACGGCGGGGGACACCAGAAATGGGCTTCACACAATGTACCCATATGGGGAATCGAACCCGTGCCTTCAGCGTGACGAGCGAACGTTTAACCACGAGGCTACCCCACCGCCGCTCTCAACATGTCTGGAATACAAGCATGTTTAGAGTAAAAGTTTGAATGCTTCTAAACGCGTTTGATTTATGTGACGATGGACCTGAATAAAGTCGTGTTTTGGATCTAAATAGATTTTTCACAGTATGAGATAATCTCGATATAAATTTCCCTCGGGTTTTACGGAAACAAAATTGTTTGCTGAGCATGCTATATCAAAAACAGTTAGACCGTGTAGTGTAAAACAGTGTTTCCGTTCACAGAAACATTATGGGATATCTTGAAGCAGCGTTTGTTTGTTGTTCAACGCCACACTCAGCAATATTCCAGCTATATGACGGTGGCCTGTAAATAATCGAGCCTGGATCAGATATTCCAGTGACTGACATCATGAGCATCGATCCACGCAATTGGGATACGATGACATGCATCAACAAAGTAAGCGAGCCTGACCACCTGATCCCGTTAGTCGCCTCTTACGACAAGCATAGTCGCCTTTTACGACAAACATGGGTTGCTGAAGACATATTCTAACCCGGATGATCACTGGTCCTTTAAGCAGTGACCGCGATTTTATTGGGCATTAAAACCATAGTCATTCTGTTACGCAGGTCTTTGCCATACTTGAGTTGTGGAGACAACGACCGCCACACTTTGTACTTGACCTCTTTACTTCCATGTGTCAAATCGTGTGGGTAAATTTCCAGCTGGTCTTAAACTGATAGGTGTGTAAAGTGACAGACGTTCGCAGAGAACACCACAAAAGATTCATGTCGGTGAAAAAACCCTCAATTCTTTTGTTTTAGAGAATAATGCTACCCACCCACCCAGTACCCCGCAATGTTGGCCACGATATATCACGATGTTAAACTCGTGTGAATGATCGGTATACATCGTGATATGCTCGTGCTTAGCTCCGTATTTCCTCGTGATACATCGTGAGAGATCGTGGTTGGTTCACGGTGTCGGATATATTTTGGGCATGTTCAAAATATGTCCAATACTCATGTTACATCGTGTCTTGCTACGTGTTGTACTCGTGTTGTGTTCGGTATTGTTCGTAGTCAGCTCGTGTGTATCGTACTACACTCGTAATGATCTCGTGCTGTATTTTTGACACGACGTGAACACGATGTTTTCACGATAGACACGGTGCGAGTACGATATATACGCCCTCAAAACGTTTACTTTTCATGGAGAAGTGTCAACCACGTCCTTGTCACGAGTGTGATACGATGTTCATACGAGCTGGATACGTGCATTACTACGATAATCACGTGTTGAACACGAGCTGATCACGAGTGCGCTACTATATGTTCACGTGGGGACGCGCGGATGACGCAAAATCATCACGAGTATAAATATGGGTCTCTCTCCCTAGCCAGCAATCAGTTTACGGCATGTTTAAGAGGAGTTCGTCACGTTTCCAGAGTTTAAAATCATTTTGCAGCAAGTTTCAGGTTTTCAGTATGCCACCTCGAAGAAAGTCTTTGAAAACAGCGGCTGAGAGGGAGTGCCAGGAAGGAGGCTGGGGACAAGACAGCGGCTGAGAGGGAGTGCCAGGAAGGTGGCTGGGGACAAGACAGCGGTTGAGGGGGAGTACCAGGAAGGTGGCTGGGGACAAGACAGCGGTTGACGGAGAGTGTCAGGAGGGAGGCTGGGGACAAGACAGCGGCTGAGAGGGAGTGCCAGGAAGGTGGCTGGGGACAAGACAGCGGTTGAGGGGGAGTGTCAGGAAGGTGGCTGGGGACAAGACAGCGGTTGAGGGGGAGTGTCAGGAATGTGGCTGGGGACAAGACAGCGGCTGAGGAGGAGAGTCAGGAAGGAGGCTGGGGACAAGACAGCGGCTGAGAGGGAGTGCCAGGAAGGTGGCTGGGGACAAGACAGCGGCTGAGAGGGAGATGATCTGCCTCTCTATTCTTGGACCGACCCGATCCAGAAGCTCCAGGACAAACGCTGGGTCCACCCGCAGGAACTTCCGAAACCCTGTCCTGTCCTATCGTGCCAGTTCCTGCAGCAAGATGCCGTAGAAGCCGTACTGCGGCCGACGAAGAAGCCAAGTCCTCACTCAAATCTTGCGCTGGACTTGACCGCGGCGTCGGCCCTCCTCTTCCCTTCGCTTACGTCTGCGGACAACCGAGATGTTTTCCGCAACCACCCCGACCACATACCGTCTGTAGTGGAAATCAACAGTCAGCTGCTGGTGCGCCATGTTGCTACGAAAAGCACTGTTCTTTCCGTCTCCGAATACCAATAATACGCCCCCAGATTCGGTCCTATTCCGGTTCCGGTTCGTAGAAGATGAACTCGTAGAGATCGTGTTAATGGCTCGTAACTACCTCGTACTCAACGTACGAAACTAGTCTATATCGTGCTAACATCGCCATATTTCCTAGTGACATGGCACTTACATAGAACTAAACTCGTTGTATTCGAAGTAAGCCCTTGATGTAGTCGTACTACATCGTACTTCATTCACATGCACCAGTACGATATTCACACATCGTGATATATCTAACAAATGTTATATTTAGGATAACACTTCCTTCGTAAAGTGACCCGTGAAGATCCGGGGTAGAATAGGTCTTCAGCAACCCATGCTTGCCATAAAAGACGACTATGCTTGTCGTAAGAGGCGACCAACGGGATCGGGTGGTCAGACTCGCTGACTTGGTTGATGCATGTTATCGTATCCCACTTGCGTGGATAGATGCTCATGATGCCAATCACTTGTCTGTGATTGTCTGGTCCAGACTCGATTATTTACACACCGCCGTCACATGGCTGGAATAATGCTGTGTGTGAGTGTGGCGTTAAACAACAAACAAACAAAGAAACTCAGTAAAGTACAGATTCTAGTAAAAAATTTGGTTGAGCACCATCCGGGACTTCCACACCGTTTGAGTGGGTTAGGTGCCTCAATCTGAGAGTGTTGATTCGAATCCCAAATGGGACTCAACCCCCCCCAAAAAAATACTAGAATCTGTACTTTACTAAGAAAGTGTTATCCTAAATATAAAATTTGTTATATCTGACCACTTTCAAAATGGCATTGTGTTTCACCGTGCTATATCGCGGTCAACATCGCGAAAGTGGGCGGGTAGCATTACCCTGCATACAATCTGATACTACTTTTGAAAGTGTTGCCATCAACAAAGACATTTTCAAATACAATAGACGCAGAAAATATCAGCATAAGTTGAGGAGCAAATTCAACGAACCAAAAATATTTGTTTAATTGTCAGGATATATTTCTTGTGTCGTGTCAGTTGACCTGCGATGGTGAGGCTGCTGTTTTGCAATGTAAGCATGACGAACTGCTGTTTCTGGACAGTAACATCACTTAAAAGTTTAGTTTATCGGATGTGTGATCGTTTCGTGTGAATGTAAGGAAAACATTCTGAAATGAGACTTTAATTCCGTTGGTGATACACTGTTTGTTGTCGGGGAGAGGAGGACATCTCATTAGCACGTGTGTGTACGTTCATTGATACCTGAAACAAGGAGAGACTGGGTGAGTGAGTGGGCGGGAGAATGAGTCGGTCAGTGAGTGGGCGGGAGAATGAGTCGGTCAGTGAGTGGGCGGGAGAATGAGCCGGTCAGTGAGTGGGCGGGAGAATGAGTCGGTCAGTGAGTAGGCAGGAGAATGAGTCGGTCAGTGAGTGGGCGGGAGAATGAGTCGGTCAGTGAGTAGGCAGGAGAATGAGTCGGTCAGTGAGTGGGCGGGAGAATGAGTCGGTCAGTGAGTGGGCGGGAGAATGAGTCGGTCAGTGAGTGGGCGGGTGAATGAGTCGGTCAGTAGGTGGGCGGGAGAATGAGTCGGTCAGTGAGTGGGCGGGAGAATGAGTCGGTCAGTGAGTGGGCGGGAGAATGAGTCGGTCAGTGAGTGGGCGGGAGAATGAGTCGGTCAGTGAGCGGGCGGGAGAATGAGTCGGTCAGTAGGTGGGCGGGAGAATGAGTCGGTCAGTGAGTGGGCGGGAGAATGAGTCGGTCAGTGAGTGGGCGGGAGAATGAGTCGGTCAGTGAGTGGGCGGGAGAATGAGTCTGTCAGTGAGTGGGCGGGAGAATGAGTCGGTCAGTGAGTGGGCGGGAGAATGAGTCGGTCAGTGAGTGGGCGGGAGAATGAGTCGGTCAGTGAGTGAGCGGGAGAATGAGTCGGTCAGTGAGTGGGCGGGAGAATGAGTCGGTCAGTGAGTGGGCGGGAGAATGAGTCGGTCAGTGAGTGGGCGGGAGAATGAGTCGGTCAGTAGGTGGGCGGGAGAATGAGTCGGTCAGTGAGTGGGCGGGAGAATGAGTCGGTCAGTGAGTGGGCGGGAGAATGAGTCGGTCATTAGGTGGGCGGGAGAATGAGTCGGTCAGGGAGTGGGCGGGAGAATGAGTCGGTCAGTAGATGGGCGGGTGAATGAGTCGGTCATTGAGTGGGCGGGAGAATGAGTCGGTCAGTGAGTGGGCGGGAGAATGAGTCTGTCAGTGAATGGGCGGGAGAATGAGTCGGTGAGAGACTTGGCGGGAGAATGAGTCGGTCAGTGAGTGGGCGGGAGAATGAGTCGGTCAGTAGGTGGGCTGGAGAATGAGTCGGTCAGTGAGTGGGCGGGAGAATGAGTCGGTCAGTGAGTGGGCGGGAGAATGAGTCGGTCAGTAGGTGGGCGGGAGAATGAGTCGGTCAGGGACTGGGCGGGAGAATGAGTCTGTCAGTAGATGGGCGGGTGAATGAGTCGGTCAGTGAGTGGGCGGGAGAATGAGTCGGTCAGTAGGTGGGCGGGAGAATGAGTCGGTCAGGGAGTGGGCGGGAGAATGAGTCCGTCAGTGAGTGGGCGGGAGAATGAGTCGGTCAGTGAGTGGGCGGGAGAATGAGTCTGTCAGTGAGTGGGCGGGAGAATGAGTCTGTCAGTGAGTGGGCGGGAGAATGAGTCGGTCAGTGAGTGGGCGGGAGAATGAGTCGGTCAGTGAGTGGGCGGGAGAATGAGTCGGTCAGTGAATGGGCGGGAGAATGAGTCTGTCAGTGAGTGGGCGGGAGAATGAGTCGGTCATTAGGTGCGCGGGAGAATGAGTCAGTCAGGGAGTGGGCGGGAGAATGAGTCGGTCAGTGAGTGGGCGGGAGAATGAGTCGGTCAGTGAATGGGCGGGAGAATGAGTCGGTCAGTAGGTGGGCGGGAGAATGAGTCGGTCAGTGAGTGGCCGGGAGAATGAGTCGGTCAGTGAGTGGGCGGGAGAATGAGTCGGTCAGTGAGTGGGCGGGAGAATGAGTCGGTCAGTGAGTGGGCGGGAGAATGAGTCGGTCAGTGAGTGGGCGGGAGAATGAGTCTGTCAGTGAGTGGGCGGGAGAATGAGTCGGTCAGTAGGTGGGCGGGAGAATGAGTCGGTCAGTAGGTGGGCGGGAGAATGAGTCGGTCAGTGAGTGGGCGGGAGAATGAGTCGGTCAGTGAGTGGGCGGGAGAATGAGTCTGTCAGTGAGTGGGCGGGAGAATGAGTCGGTCAGTGAGTGGGCGGGAGAATGAGTCTGTCAGTGAGTGGGCGGGAGAATGAGTCGGTCAGTGAGTGGGCGGGAGAATGAGTCTGTCAGTGAGTGGGCGGGAGAATGAGTCGGTCAGTGAGTGGGCGGGAGAATGAGTCGGTCAGTGAGTGGGCGGGAGAATGAGTCTGTCAGTGAGTGGGCGGGAGAATGAGTCGGTCAGTGAGTGGGCGGGAGAATGAGTCGGTCAGTGAGTGGGCGGGAGAATGAGTCGGTCAGTGAGTGGGCGGGAGAATGAGTCGGTCAGTGAGTGGGCGGGAGAATGAGTCGGTCAGTGAGTGGGCGGGAGAATGAGTCGGTCAGTGAGTGGGCGGGAGAATGAGTCGGTCAGTAGGTGGGCGGGAGAATGAGTCGGTCAGGGAGTGGGCGGGAGAATGAGTCGGTCAGTGAGTGGGCGGGAGAATGATTCGGTGTTTTAAAATAACAGGTGGTCGTTGTTTGGATGAGAGCGAGGGGTTTAGAGAGAGAGACAGACAAAGAGGTAGAGAGATGGGGAGAGTGAAACGAGAGAAACAAATGCGAGAAAGAGACTTGGAGAGAGAAAGGATAGAGAGAGAAAGACAGAGCGAGTAGTTCTACCTGGGTGACTTCTGATTGTTTCTTCCTCTGGCGAACCCCTCTTCCACACGCAGCGTGAGTCGCCAAGTTCATGTCCGTTTGTCCAGCCGTCTCCGTCCGAATCCTTCATGCAGAGGTCAGCTGTCCATTGGAAGCCGGCCGCCATGAAGTCCTGCAACAGCAACCCAACCCCTACAGGAGGGACCCATGTCCAAATCACATCCGGATATCCCCTACAGGAGGCGACCATATCCGCGTTACACCCGGATATCAACTACAGGAGGCACCTATGTCCACGTCACATCCGGATATCCCCCACAGGAGGCACCTTTGTCCACGTCACATCCGGATATCCCCTACAGGAAAGACCCATGTCCGCGTCACATCCGGATATCCCCTACAGGAGGGACCCATGTCCGCGTCACATCCGGATATCCCCTACAGGAGGCACCTTTGTCCACGTCACATCCGGATATCCCCTACAGGAAAAACCCATGTCCGCGTCACATCCGGATATCCCCTACAGGAGGGACCCATGTCCGCGTCACATCCGGATATCCCCTACAGGAGGCACCTTTGTCCACGTCACATCCGGATATCCCCTACAGGAAAGACCCATGTCCGCGTCACATCCGGATATCCCCTACAGGAGGGACCCATGTCCGCGTCACATCCGGATATCCCCTACAGGAGGCACCTTTGTCCACGTCACATCCGGATATCCCCTACAGGAAAGACCCATGTCCGCGTCACATCCGGATATCCCCTACAGGAGGGACCCATGTCCGCGTCACATCCGGATATCCCCTACAGGAAAGACCCATGTCCGCGTCACATCCGGATATCCCCTACAGGAGGGACCCATGTCCGCGTCACATCCGGATATCCCCTACAGGAGGGACCCATGTCCGCGTCAAATCCGGATATCCCCTACAGGAGGCACCTTTGTCCACGTCACATCCGGATATCCCCTACAGGAGGCACCTTTGTCCACGTCACATCCGGATATCCCCTACAGGATAGACCCATGTCCGCGTCACATCCGGATATCCCCTACAGGAGGCACCTTTGTCCACGTCACATCCGGATATCCCCTACAGGAAAGACCCATGTCCGCGTCACATCCGGATATCCCCTACAGGAGGGACCCATGTCCGCGTCACATCCGGATATCCCCTACAGGAGGGACCCATGTCCACGTCACATCCGGATATCCCCTACAGGAGGGACCCATGTCCGCGTCACATCCGGATATCCCCTACAGGAGGGACCCATGTCCGCATCACATCCGGATATCCCCTACAGGAGGCACCTTTGTCCACGTCACATCCGGATATCCCCTACAGGAAAGACCCATGTCCGCGTCACATCCGGATATCCCCTACAGGAGGGACCCATGTCCGCGTCACATCCGGATATCCCCTACAGGATAGACCCATGTCCGCGTCACATCCGGATATCCCCTACAGGAGGCACCTTTGTCCACGTCACATCCGGATATCCCCTACAGGAGGGACCCATGTCCACGTCACATCCGGATATCCCCTACAGGAGGGACCCATGTCCACGTCACACCCGGATATCCCCTACAGGAGGCACCTTTGTCCACGTCACATCCGGATATCCCCTACAGGAGGAGCCCATGTCCACGACACATCCGGATATCCCCTACAGGAGGCACCTTTGTCCACGTCACATCCGGATATCCCCTACAGGATAGACCCATGTCCGCGTCACATCCGGATATCCCCTACAGGAGGCACCTTTGTCCACGTCACATCCGGATATCCCCTACAGGAAAGACCCATGTCCGCGTCACATCCGGATATCCCCTACAGGAGGGACCCATGTCCGCGTCACATCCGGATATCCCCTACAGGAAGGACCTATGTCCACGTCACATCCGGATATCCCCTACAGGAGGGACCCATGTCCGCGTCACATCCGGATATCCCCTACAGGAAGGACCTATGTCCACGTCACATCCGGATATCCCCTACAGGAGGGACCCATGTCCACGTCACATCCGGATATCCCCTACAGGAGGGACCCATGTCCGCGTCACATCCGGATATCCCCTACAGGAGGGACCCATGTCCGCGTCACATCCGGATATCCCCTACAGGAGGCACCTTTGTCCACGTCACATCCGGATATCCCCTACAGGAAAGACCCATGTCCGCGTCACATCCGGATATCCCCTACAGGAGGGACCCATGTCCGCGTCACATCCGGATATCCCCTACAGGAGGGACCCATGTCCACGTCACATCCGGATATCCCCTACAGGAGGGACCCATGTCCACGTCACATCCGGATATCCCCTACAGGAGGGACCCATATCCGCGTCACATCCGGATATCCCCTACAGGAGGGACCCATGTCCACGTCACACCCGGATATCCCCTACAGGAGGCACCTTTGTCCACGTCACATCCGGATATCCCCTACAGGAGGAGCCCATGTCCACGACACATCCGGATATCCCCTACAGGAGGCACCTTTGTCCACGTCACATCCGGATATCCCCTACAGGATAGACCCATGTCCGCGTCACATTCGGATATCCCCTACAGGAGGCACCTTTGTCCACGTCACATCCGGATATCCCCTACAGGAAAGACCCATGTCCGCGTCACATCCGGATATCCCCTACAGGAGGGACCCATGTCCGCGTCACATCCGGATATCCCCTACAGGAGGGACCCATGTCCACGTCACATCCGGATATCCCCTACAGGAGGGACCCATGTCCGCGTCACATCCGGATATCCCCTACAGGAGGGACCCATGTCCGCGTCACATCCGGATATCCCCTACAGGAGGCACCTTTGTCCACGTCACATCCGGATATCCCCTACAGGAAAGACCCATGTCCGCGTCACATCCGGATATCCCCTACAGGAGGGACCCATGTCCGCGTCACATCCGGATATCCCCTACAGGAAGGACCTATGTCCACGTCACATCCGGATATCCCCTACAGGAGGAGCCCATGTCCGCGTCACATCCGGATATCCCCTACAGGAGGGACCCATGTCCACGACACATCCGGATATCCCCTACAGGAGGGACCCATGTCCGCGTCACATCCGGATATCCCCTACAGGAGGGACCCATGTCCGCGTCACATCCGGATATCCCCTACAGGAGGGACCCATGTCCACGTCACATCCGGATATCCCCTACAGGAAAAACCCATGTCCGCGTCACATCCGGATATCCCCTACAGGAGGGACCCATGTCCGCGTCACATCCGGATATCCCCTACAGGAGGCACCTTTGTCCACGTCACATCCGGATATCCCCTACAGGAAAGACCCATGTCCGCGTCACATCCGGATATCCCCTACAGGAGGGACCCATGTCCGCGTCACATCCGGATATCCCCTACAGGAAGGACCTATGTCCACGTCACATCCGGATATCCCCTACAGGAGGAGCCCATGTCCGCGTCACATCCGGATATCCCCTACAGGAGGGACCCATGTCCACGACACATCCGGATATCCCCTACAGGAGGGACCCATGTCCGCGTCACATCCGGATATCCCCTACAGGAGGGACCCATGTCCACGACACATCCGAATATCAGGGACCAATATCATGGTTATTGTCTCTGTGGTAATTGTTCCCGTGGTTATTGTCTCTGTCGCAATTGTCTCTATGGTTATTGTCTCTATGGTAATTGTCCCTATGGTTATTGTCCCCATGGTTATTGTCTCTATGGTAATTGTCCCTATGGTTATTGTCTCTATGGTAATTGTCCCTATGGTTATTGTCTCTATGGTGATTGTCCCTATGGTTATTGTCCCCATGGTTATTGTCCCCATGGTTATTGTTCCAATGGTTATTGTCTCTATGGTAATTGTCCCCATGGTTATTGTCTCCATGGTAATTGTCTCTATGGTTATTGTCTCTATGGTAATTGTCCTTATGGTTATTGTCCCCATGGTAATTGTCCCCATGAAGATTGTCCCCATGGTAATTGTCTCCATGGTAATTGTCCACATGGCTATTGTCTCTATGGTAATTGTCCCCATGGCTATTGTCCCCATGGTAATTGTCTCCATGGTAATTGTCCCCATGGCTATTGTCTCCATGGTAATTGTCCCCATGGTTATTGACCTAATGGTTGTTGTCTCCATCTTAATTGTCTCTATGGTTATTGTCTCTATGGTAATTGTCACCATGGTTATTGACCTAAAGGTTGTTGTCTCTATGGTAATTGTCCCCATGGTTATTGACCTAATGGTTGTTGTCTCTATGGTAATTGCCCCCATGGTTATTGACCTCATGGTTATAGATCCCATGGTAGTTGTCCCCATGGTTATTGTCTCTCTGGTACTTGTCGTCATGGTTATTGTCTCCATGGTTATTGTCTCCATGTTAATTGTCTCTATGGTATTTGTCCCCATGGTTATTGTCTCCATGGAATATGTTCCCATGGTTGTTGTCTCCATGGTAATTGTCTCCATAGTTATTGATTCTATGGTAATTGTCCCCATGGTAATTGTCTCCATGGTAATTGACCCTATGGTTATTGTCTCAATGGTAATTGTCCCCATGGTAATTGTCTCCATGGTAATTGACCCTATGGTTATTGTCGCTATGGTAATTGTCCCCATGGTTATTGTCCCCATGTTCATTGTCTCTGTGGTAATTGTCACCATGGTTATTGTCACCATGGTAATTGTATAAAAAGCTTAACTGTCTTGTCCTCGTGTTTTTCCAGCAAAGTATTCCTGAACATCCGGGGTAGAATAGGTCTTTAGCAACCTGCGTAAGAGGCGACTAACAGCATCGGGTGGTCAGCCACGCTGACTCGGGTGATGCATGTCATGGTAACCCAATTGCGTGGATCGATGCTCATGATATCAGTCATTGGGTTGTCTGGTCCAGGCTCGATTATTGACAGTCCGCCATCACATGGCTTGAATGTTGCTGAGTGTGATGTTGTACAGCAAACAAACATACAAATAAACAAAGATTGATGCTCATAATATCAATCACTGGATTGTCTGGACCAGACTCTATTATCTACAGACGGCCGTCAAGTAGCTGGACCAGTCAAACAAACCAGCAAAAGAAAACTTTCACTGTATTTGCTGTGTGTTTTTTGCAAAATACAATAGTTTGGCGTCTCCTATCAGAGAATTCAAATATGTTTTCAAGCACTGAAACAATAATCTGTTTCAAACAATAATTCCATAATTATGCGGTTGGTACCTCTGGTGGTTTCACCACACCTATATTTCAAATGAAACAATCATAATTGTACCACAAGTGTCACTTCGTCAACTCACAGCGTTATCTTACCTTGCCGAACTGGTTGAGGTCATCCTTTGACCCTGAAAACTGATGTGTGTGACCTACCGCCGCCCAGTGCACGGTGGGGTAGCAGGGATTGGGCACCTGGTACCCGTGGGGGATGTTGGCTTGGTCTTGCTCCATCGCCATGACGACGGGAAGCATTAGCAGACAGATGTAAGGAACCATGATGGCCTCTGTGGTTTCGGAAAGACCTAGTTGTTATGTGGGAATGTCCGTCTGTCCGTTATCAGTAACTGAATTACGATGACTAAGCAAAAACATTACCTCTTGTGTAAGGAGGTTGGTCTTACGGAGCTTCCAACAGTATTCCGGGTATATCACGGTGTCAGCTTAAGGGAGCATTAAAACCCGAAGTGATGCAGTCTTAAACGTTTACCGATTTGGTGAAACCCAAGGGCGGTCGGGTAGCCTAGTGGTTAAAGCGTTCGCTCGCCACGCCGAAGACCCGGGTTCGATTCCCGACATGGGTACAATGTGTGAAGCCTATTTCTGGTGTTCCCCGCCGTGCTATTGCTGGAAGATTGCTCAAAACGGCGTAAAACCGTACTCACTCATTTGTTGAAACCATCGAGCACAGGTATGCTGACAAACCTCAAAACATAATCATAGTGGCCACGGATTCGAACCCACAATCACAGGTTTCAGGCGTGCCCAAGGGGCGCAACTCTGCACAGTGAGAGCGAAGGAGAACTGACATCCTTGAAATGGTGACTTGAATTGAAAAGTTAATGTTTAGTTTCAATAGATATTACTATTGTTTCATAGCAAGTGGAAATATGTGCCAGAACCTATAACATCAGCAAGGCTTGATTTCTGATTGATATCAATAATTCAAAGTTGAGCAGTGTATTAACTAAACACACTATTTGGGCGCTTGTTTTAATAGATGCATATCGTAACTACCCTCTCGTCTCGGGTCTTGTGTTGCTACAGCCATGGTGTCCTACAAATAGCGTTCTGTTTCGTCCTTCTGTCTAACTTCGATCTGCTCGATCGCTCCTTCGTGAAAGTGAAAATTTGTTCGTCAATCTGAAAAAAGCTGGAGGAGCGAGGTTGGAAAAGAAAGGATTCTTCGAAACGGCAGATGGTATGTGGAGCTAGGGTTACAGACAAAACGTTATTTTTTCGTGATGATTACACTTGCCGCACAGAATGCTGTCCACCAATTTCGTTTCCCTTTATCACGGACTAAGGGTAAGTGAACCTTCCACATACCCTCTCCGTTGATGGTTTGATTAGCAGCTATTAAAACAAGCGCAAAATTAGTACATTTATTACTTCTCGAAGTAATTATCCGATAATTTCTAGATTTCACGAACGAGATATTTACGATATACCACATTTGTCAAAGTCAATTTTGGTTTGCCTAAAGTGAACCGAACCACAGAACTGAGAATGTCACGCTGAATGGGGGAATAAGTGAGTGAGTATGGTTTTACGCCGCTTTTAGCAATTTTTTCAGCAATATCACGGCGGGGGACACCAGAAATGGGCTTCACACATTGTACCCATGTGGGGAATCGAACCCGGGTCTTCGGCGTGACGAGCGAACGCTTTAACCACTAGGCTGCTCGACCGCCCCTCGCGCTGAATGAAACACTGTACAGTGTATTTGTGTGGGTACTCTTATTCAACATGTATACTGTTGGAGTTAAGTAACATTAAGTGTTCTTCCGGTATCCAGGGCGTTTAAGCCAAACTAAATTGTTTTAGTCCGGGTTAGAATAGCTCTCAGCAAGCCATGCTTATGGTAAAAGGCAACAGTCGCGATCGGGTGGCCAGGCACACTGACTTTGTGGATGCATGTCATGGTATCCCAATTGCGGAGATCGATGCTCATGATATCAATCACTGGATTGTCGATTATTTACAGACCGCCGTCATTATAGCCTGAATATTGTTGAGTACGGCGTTATTCAACAAACGAACAGACAAACAAATCTTAGTCAGTGTGCAACAAAGCATTGATAAAAAAATATCACAGTAAGTGAGAAGAGCATGTTTCTAAAAAACACACCTCTCTCCGGACATTTACTGTTTGTTTGGTTGGTTAACGCCAATGTTTCGACTATATAAAGGAGGGCTGTGTTTGACATCATGAACACAGATTTACACAATTAGGATACGGTGTCATGAATCCAGCCAGCGTGCCTGACCACCATATCCCGTTAGAAGCCTCTTGCGACAAGCATTTGTTGCTGAAGATCGAGTCTTACCCGGAACGTGGGGGAGGGGTGGGGGTGGGGCGATTACTGAAGAGAGAGAGAGAGAGAGAGAGAGAGAGAGAGAGAGAGAGAGAGAGAGAGAGAGAGAGAGAGAGAGATGATGGATGGATGATAGATAGATATAAAAAAGAATATAAAATGTGATAACGTTATTGTCATAATACAGTCAAGGACAAGACGAGCATAAAAATAAATATTCCTCTCAAAAGTAGGACTAATAACGACAAGTTATGAGTGCGAGATACCAGTCTCAACTTGTTATCGTTCGTTCTCGTCCTGTTTTCTACTGATCCAATCTAAATATCAGTATACATTTTCAGATATAGAAAAAACCGTGTATGAGAACATTTAACTTTATAGGGTTGTATAATATGTAGAGAGTCTTTGTTTAGTTTTATCATAATTATTTCCAGTTTCATCATGGATGCACATACACGTCTCTGGCCTCAGTGTTTTAAACAATCATGGGGATTAGGGAAGGCACCGGGAAGTATACTGACTGAACCCCAGGTTAAATTAAAACACAACTTAATACACTCATAAAGCATCCAGTACAACGAGCCCCTCAAGCGAAAATAGGTGCAGTCACAGTTTAACGCCTCAGGGGACTTTGTGACACCTTATGGCACATATATGGTCCTCGTGCAAGCCACGCCCTTGCTGACTTGGACAGGAAGTGTTACGTCTGACCTGTCGAGCTTGATAATGTTCCTGCCCTGTGTGTTATGTTTGGGTGCTGTGGGCGTCCTGGCTATACCCGAGTTCCTGAACCGGATCCCCAACGGTCGCTTAGTACCTGACCCCTGCGATCCGGGGCGTGGCTGGGCAACGGTGGGGCACAGCAACACCTGGGGCGGTAAACATGCCTTGAATCCCTTTGGAGAGGTGGGTAAGACATGTTGTTCGTGACATAAGACGTTGTGATAGGTGGGGTGTCACCTTGTATTGGACACACGGGCAGGCTTTTGACATGAAGTATCCTCTATTTTTTTTTATATTAGAAGAGTTAATATTTCCGTTTAACTGTGCGCATCATTCTTTTTTAGTCGGGGCGGTCGGGTAGCCTAGTGGTTTAAGCGTTCGCTCGTCACGCCGAATACCCGTGTTCGATTCCTGACATTGGTACAATGTGTGAAACCCATTTCTGGTGTTCCCCGCCGTGATATTTCTGGAATATTGCTAAAAGCGGTGTCAAACCAAACTCAATCACTCTTTTTAAGTCGTTTCATGTGATACAGGGAATATTCTCTCATAATATTGGTGCCCAGTCAAGCCCGCTGGCCTATGATTGTAGTTCGAATCCCAGATTCGCCTGCTAATGTTTCTAGGCTTGTCGCCCATTCCCGATGTTCCCCGCCATGATATTGCTGGAATATTGCTAAAAGCGGCGTAAAACAATACTCACTCACTCCAGGCTTGTCACAGCCATACCCGTGCCCGTGGGTATAAAGCTGAGATTAAGTTAATCCAAACTCAAAATACTTGCCTACACGCTGCTCTTGTTCAAGGCTTGTGACCCAGTAGGCGCCATGTCTCAGTGCGAGGAGTTGTGTCCCTTGGCCGCGCGAAGATCTGGTAACTGGAAGTTCGAATCCTAGATATACCCAATTTAGAATCTTTTTTTCGCAGCACCAATTAAGTAATAAAACGTCTAAGACCTGCGTTCTTTTCCTCCCACATTCAGGTGACACGTCGTGATATGACTGTAATATTGGTCAAATTGGCGTAATAACAATGACGACCACGCATTGATTTTGAGGATAAAATAAAATAAATAGTAACACCTGCTAAAACGTAAGTTTCATGTCACAGATGGCAGTGAAACACTTGTGTACTTTTGACATGTGCAGGGACCCGAACGACGGACCTGAGAAGATGAGGGTTATAACTGGTCTTCAGCAACCCATGTTTGTCGTAAGGTGAGGTGAAATGGGGTTTAACGTCGCGTCCAATATTATTGCACTTATATAGCGACGTGCATGAACTAGTCCGGACTGATGCCGATTTATAGTGCTAGCTCACTGAGATACCATGCTTCAGTTTAACATGAATACCCCACTCAGACACAGTATACTGACTCCGAGCCGACCAGTCCTTGTTTAAGCCCCTTAATGCCGAGCGCCAGACAGGGTAACAACAAGTACCATCTTTTAACGTCTTTTTGGTATGACGCGGCCGGGGATAGAACCCCGGACGCTCTACCATTAGACCACGGAGGCGGTCTGTTTGTCGTAAGAGAGGGACTGACGGCATCAGGTGGCCAGGCTCGCTGACTTGGTTGATGCATGTCATCGTATCCCAATTGCATAGGTCAGTCACTGGATTGTCTGGTCCAAACTCGATTATTTAAAGAAAGCCGTCTAATAGCTTGAGTACTGCCGAGTTCCGCTATAAACAAACAAACAAACAAACATTTTGAAAATATGTCACACACGAGGGTGTGTATATTGGTTGTGATGTCCACGTATATCACCTGCGTTATGTCCATTGTTTCAGCGGGTTATTTTTCATTGTTACTACCCTGTGTGTGCACACGTGCAGTGACCAGAACTGGGCAGAACAGTCCACAATTTTGTAAAACCCTATTTACTGCGGTAATGCTTTCGGTTAACTCTAAAACGTATGACGATATGAATGTGGAATATGATTTAGTATATATTATTGTAGAGGAGCATACTGAAAATGACCTTTTATATATTTCCATATTGGGCGATTCGGCTCAGATGTTAGTGGAGCAAGCTGAAGTTTATATCATGGTCTAAAGTGCACCGTGTTCGTAGCCCACGTGGTGTAAGTAGATTAGCGCCTCTTTCTGCGGATGATATGGATTCAAAGCTCTGTAGTGTGACGAGCCAGCGCCTAAACCTACAGGCAACGCTCTGGTCTAACTGTTAGGCACGTAAATGAATGCATTCCCTCGCTTAACGTAGAACGACGCTAGACAAAGCACCTCCCAGCAATCAAACCTTCTTGGAGACGTTTTTCACTATTCGGTTCTGGTTGGTTCTATCAAAGATCATATTTCAGTACATGGCCTCTGACATAATAGGCGGCCATCTGATTGGTCGGTATGTACTGTGATATAGGCTTCCGTTTGTCAATATTGTTGCCATGGGAACAACAAAAACGGGTTTCACAGCTCGCAGCAAGTCGAACCGGTTATTAAGGTGATCTGTGCTGGTCTTGCGTACACCTCAACAATATTACACAATTTGGGATTTAATAAATATGATATATCCTAAACTTTCTAAGTTTGAAAAGCGGTTTTAATTACAAAATAGTTAGAAAACAGAGATGGCAAACATTTAGACGTTAAACATTATTGATTTTTCGCCCCAAGAGAGTGATGACGTGGATGCAGATGCTGCTTTCCTTGTGGTTGCATCATTGGGGCTTTGTAAAAACTTAATGGTTGGACAAGCGCAAACAACTCTACAACAATGTTGCTATTGATTGAAGACGAAATCAACCCATATGCATAATCTCGTTCAAAACGGGGGCTGTTTGACTTGCATTATACATAACTACTGCATCAATAGTGAAACTCATTGTATGTAATCACGTGACTTTGAGATACGACCCTGGGGTTTGTTTGTTTGTTTGTTTGTTTGTTTGTTTGTTACCATGGTGATTACGTGTATCCATAGAAGGACATTGTATCATCGTGGTTAATATGAAGCAAACAGTCCAGTGATTGACCTCCTGAGCATCGGTCTACGCAATTGAGATACGTTGACACACATCAACTTATTCTGCGAGCGACCCGTGAAGATCCGGGTTAGAATAGGTCTTCAGCAACCCATGCTTGCTGTAAAAGGCGACTATGGACTAAGCTTGTCGTAAAAGGCGACAAACGGGATCGGGTGTTCAGGCTTGCTGACTTGGTTGATGCATGTCATCGAATCCCAACTGCGTGGATCGCTGCTCATGATGTCAATCAATGGATTGTCTGGTCCAGATTATTTTCAGGCCACCGTCATATAGCTGGAATATTGCTGAGTGCGGCGTTAAACAACAAACAAACAGACAAATATAGTTCAGCGAGCCTGATCGCCCGATCCCGTTAGTCGCCTCTTACAACAAGCATAGTCGCCTTTTGCGGCAAGCATGGGTTGCTGAAGATCAGTTCTAACCCGGATCTTCACGGGTCCGTCGTCCATGGCGCCACTGATCATTGAGATTCGAGGTAAGAAGAGGTCGTTACCGACAAACATGATGCTGCGGATTGTGCGTGACAATGATCCGTCATAGTGGGCGTTGTTCATACCATCAAGCATTGGTGCTGCTGACCCACACACTATCCCTCAATGTTCTAAATGATGTAGCATGTGGTATACAATCAACATTCTCACACCCGCCTCTAAATTCGGTCCCCTGAAACACTCCAATGACTCATGTCTTCCTATCTGTGGGGGGCGGTGGGGTAGCCTAGTGGTTTAAGCGTTCGCTCGTCACGCCGATGACCCGGGTTCGATTCCCGACATGGGTACAATGTGTGAAGCCCATTTCTGGTGTCCCCCGCCCTGATATTGCTGGAATATTGCTCAAAGCGGCGTAAAACCATACTCACTCACTCCTATCTGTGGCAATCAGGAGACACGCGACTTTTGTAAAGTTTTTGAATACATATTTGTATTGCATTGTTTCAGCATTTCAAACAGGAAGGGTTTATGTGGACAAGAGGTCTTTGTATGAAGGATTCTGACCTCGACGGAATGACCAACGGTGTCGAACTCGGCGACCCTGATTGCAAGTGGGCATATGGCCAGCAGGCGGCACGCGGTAACATATCGCATCCAGGTGGGTCACAAGGAGCATTGTCGCGAGTGAGTGAATGTGTGAGTTGGGTTTAACGCCGGTTTGAACAGTATTCCAGTTATATCACGGCGTGTATGTTTCTTGTGGGAAGAAAGGTGAGGTGAGGTAAAATGGGGTTTAACGTCACGTCCGAGATTATTGCACTTTAATAGCGACGTGCATGCACGTGTGTGTGTGTGTGTGTGGCTGCTTGTACTAGTCCGGACTGATGCCGATTTATAGTGCTAGCCCACAGAGATACCCAATCTCATTAAAATCAGACCTCAGTTCTCGCTACCGCTAAACAAAGATCTGAGGACATCCCATGAGGGTTCACGTCTGAACGACCTTTCATCCGACCAATCAGAGCATCGCTTACCAGATTGTGAAAGTGACAGTCGGAATGTGATGTCTAATCATGCAACCTCGAAAACTTTAACTCCGAACGATAGTTACGGGTTTAATGACTAAATCCATACAATCTAGACATTCTATTAGCCATTCCAGAATGTTCTTTTGTTCAGGTTTCAAATTTGTAATCGAGAATTTGTCAAAAGATGTTGCGAAGCGTAGTCGCCAATTTGAAATTAGTGCCGTAAAACACGAGAAAGCTGCCTTCTGATTGGTCATTCTATTGGTCGGTAAAAGTTCGCGCAAGGTCGGTTTGACGTGACACGTAATGGGATGTCCTCAGATCGTTGTTTAGCGGTAGCGAGAACTAAGATTTGATTTTAATGAGATTGCTGAGATACCATGCCGCAGTTTAACATGAATACCCCACTCAGAAACTGTATACTGACTCCGAGCCGACCAGTCCTTGTTTTAGCCCCTTAATGCCGAGCGCCGGACAGGGTAACAACAAGTGCCATATTTTAACGTCTTTTGGTATGACGCGGTCATGGATCTCTCCGGGCGGACGCTCTACAACTCGACCACGGAGGCGGTCTGTTGGAAGAAATCCGGAAGTGATGCAGGTCTCAGACGTTTACGACTTTCGTGAAACCCACGACTTCGGATATAGTGCTGACAAACGATCCCACGAGCCACTCCGTCCTGCGCGGTGACTTGGTTGATTGGGTGTCATCGCACCCCGACGGCCTGGGCTGTTGCTCTTAATATCAATCACTGGACGCGATTATTTACGTGGTGCCGTCATATTGATGGAATATTGCTGAAACCCGCCCATGTTAACCCCGTGTCCCATGGCAATGATATAGAGTATATGCTTCTTGAACAGACGAATGTAGGCTTGTTTCTCAGTTCGCTTTGGTATAGACGATAGTCTACCATCTTCCCGAGGCAAGGGTGTTAACTGACTATAAAAGTCCGGTTTCCACCCTTGCCGAACTAGGCTGGTATTATGGAGTTACATTTCGGCTGGACTCAAAATCGCGCAACGAAATCGAAATCCTGTTCGTAAAACTGTCGTGAAGATTTCGGTCGATTGCAGAATTTGCAAAGCATGAGCACCGCCGTTTTGTTTGAAACAAATGCAAGTGATACGAGAGGTGGAATCTGACTGGTCCATAGGAGATGCATAGAAGGGACATAACTCGTAATAGCCACTGGTGTCGCTACAACCGAGCATAGGAATTCCAGCCTAGTTCGACAAGAGTGGAAACTAGACTTTTAAAGTCAGTTAACTCCCTTGCCTCGGGAAGATGATAGTCTACATGTATGTGTTATAGTTTAACTTGTACACACAGGGCAGTAATAATTCTTCTCCTTTCTTCTGCAACAGGCATCGTCTGTGCTACGACGACTGTGGCGCCATGGTTACGCCACCTGCTGAAGTAGTGAGTTTACTCAATGTTCGCACATATGGCGAATAAACTGATTTTTGGAAATATTCACTGGTCGTTATCACTTACAGATAAACAGATATTCAATATTTGCAAATTGGGTTTAATGTCGCGTCCAAGATTATTGCTCTTATATAGCAACACGTGTGTTTGTGTCTGTGTGTCTGTGTGTCTGTGTGTGTCTGTGTGTCTGTGTGTGTCTGTGTGTGTGTGGTTGCTTGTACTAGTGTACTAGTCCGGACTGATGCTAATTGATAGTGCTAGCCCACTGAGATACCATGCCGCAGTTTAACATGAAGACCCCACTCAGACACAGTATACTGACTCCGAGCCGACCAGACCTTGTTTTAGCCCCCTAATGCTGAAAGATAAACAGGGTAACAGCAAGTACCATCTTAAAACGGCTTTTGGTATGACGCGGCCGGAATCGAACCTAGACAGTGTGCATTCCAACTGACATGTTTCGAATTCATGGGTACCTTCAACACCTAACAGTCCATGTTTTGCTTTAAATTGTTATTCATAGCAAATCGTTGCTCTCTGCATAATTTGCCTCAAGGATGTTAACAATTCCTCTTCAGTGTTCGAATCCATAAACGAAACATTGAATGTTTCTAGAAATGTTATTCTGTCACATAAACCTGACACGTGACAGGCAGTGATTCGGGTGTTTATAGACCGTAATTAAAAAAATGAGTTGTCTGCTCATGAATATAAATAAAGCCCCAAGGTTCTGTAGTTCACCTGACAGACGAAGAAATAGACACTTAAACCTTATTTTGGTACAAACATTTATTTATGTTGTGAGTTAAAGAAACTGGTGGAAAAGATTTAAGGAAAAAAAAATAAAAACTATTTTTCAACATCGTTTACGACAACGACGTTGAGTGCAAAGAGTGACGTCTTGAACATATTTGGATCTTCTTTTGGTCATGACATTCACACGGATTAGAATTTCTGTTTTATGGTTCTTAAGAATAAGATTTTCATTTTCTTTAAATATTTTGCTTAAAAACTAACGATAAAATTACATTGATTTGAACAAGATAAGATGTCTCAATAACAAGAAAGCTTAATGCCAATTTTCGGCTTCATCAATCAAAGGAAAATATCGTTTAGAGCATAGTATAAGTGCAACGGCCTTTCAACTGCAAAGGTCAGTGTTATGGCTGCTTGGTTTTACAGGGTCCGTTCACCACACAAAATAGGCCCCTCGGTTTGTTTCTAACCCTGTACCACGGTGTGGTACCACTGAACAGCAGGTTTGAATTACGCCCTCCATTTTGAACGGATGTAATAAAAATGGCGGCAATTAGCATGCCATACATGCAGTAAAATAAGCACAATTAGGCCAGCAGCTATGTAATGTTTACTATTTCTTTCACGTTACTTAAAATATATACCTTACTGTATACTGGGATAATATAAACAAAACTTCGACATCAGTATCTTTACAACAGAAAATGAGAATGATATTTCACTTAATAAAAGATATTTTCTAAATACAAACAATCCTCATTCCAAACTGAAAGACATGTTGACGTAAGAAACTCAGTTCGTTCTCAGGAATGAGTTATGGGGACGGAAAGAGGTATACCCGTTAAATCGTCTATTAACTAATTATATCATTTATATTTTAAGCGATTAACGAATTTAGATTGGACGAGGCTCGCATTTACATTTTCACGAATAATTTACAAAATACTATTTATGATCATTTAGAGTAATGTGGAAACAATAAAGCCAGATTTCAAATCCTAATTCTGTCATCGTCGCATCGATACCTTTTAAGAGTTAACAAACCAATGTGTACAGGCCAACAGCCATGAACCACTCAAGATTGGTAGACTTTCTCTGGATCCGGGTACTGGAAAGCAACTGTGCCGAGTTCGGAATTGCATCTACATTAAATATGCAATATGTAGCTCTAGACAAATTATTTGTACAGACAAAATGTTTTTTGGACAGCATTGGCGATGCTACCAATAAGGAACAATCAAGATGTCAAAGTATACAAAAACTCTGTTGTATCAAACTGAAACAAAAATAAGTGTATATAATAGACATGTGTATCTCCTTGTCTTCTGTAGTCTGAGGTCCAACGAGGGGGGCACGGGTGGCCCAGTCGTCTAAGGCGCCGCGATTCGCTGTGCAGAGTTGCGTCCCTTGGGCACGCCAGAAACCTATGATTGTGGGTTCGAATCCCGGTTTGTCAGCACCATACCCATGCTGGTGGGTTTCACCGAAGTGGTAAAGGTCTGAGACCTGCATCACTTCGTGCTTTCCTCCCACATTAAGCTGACACGCCGTGATATAACTGGAATACTGTTAAAAGCGGCGTTAAACCCAACTCACCCCCTTACACACTGAGGTCCAACGAACTTTCAAATTATATATAAATGGTTCAACACTAATGACAGTACAATGACAAAAACATCACTGTTGATCATACTAAGAACATGAAGCAAAAATATCCAAAAAATTAAGTATAACATTTGCAAAAGACTTAGAAATAAACGTGAAAAAGATAAACAGGCTGATCTGGAGTATCAGGCGCTGACTTATTGTGCTCACTTCGGTCGGTCCCTCAGCGTCTTGGAAGACAAAACGTCCACCAGCATGGCAAGCAAACGGCACCCTGATTGTTTTTCCCTCAGTAGTAATGTTAAGTAGACCTTCATGGACAATATTCAAAATGTTTATTATCCCTAACCTTTTTTTGTTCAGCATACGTGATACTGATTAATGTCAATGCTTCATGTGTACAAGTCGTTCAATGGAGCAATCAGCGACCAAGGGTACCAAGTCTTTGTAAACTATTGACAGACGCCAAAACAAACTGCCAGAACATGCAATGAAATCCGTTAGAGTGGAACCACGGGAGAGTGGTTTATTTCATACACAAAGGACGTCACTGTGGGAGGATTCATGACAAACTGCACACATTGTTAATATGCACCATTCCCACGGATATCGTTCCTGGCGCCACGAGACCCATGGGGTTGTCTTACGGACCGACTGCGGACATCCGAAGTATCGCATGTATATCTCTCAGGATTGGTGCAAGGGTCAATTTGACATACATGTAATTATTTTGTACCGTGTACTTTTGTACAGTTTCCGATCAGTAAGGGCACCTCGTTCATCCGGACTGTACAGTTCCCGATCAGTAAGAGCACCTCGTTCATCCGGACTGTACAGTTCCCGATCAGTAAGGGCACCTCGTACATCCGTACTGTACATTTCCCGATAAGTAAGGGCACCTCGTACATCCGGACTGTACAGTTCCCGATCAGTAAGGGCACCTCGTACATGCGGACTGTACAGTTCCCGATCAGTAAGGGCACCTCGTTCATCCGGACTGTGCAGTTCCCGATCAGTAAGGGAACCTCGTTCATCCGGACTGTATAGTTCCCGATCAGTAAGTGTTCCTCGTTCATCCGGTCTGTACAGTTCCCGATCAGTAAGGGCACCTCGTTCATCCGGACTGTATAGTTCCCGATCAGTAAGTGTTCCTCGTTCATCCGGACTGTACATTTCCCGATCAGTAAGGGCACCTCGTACATGCGGACTGTACAGTTCCCGATCAGTAAGGGCACCTCGTTCATCCGGACTGTGCAGTTCCCGATCAGTAAGGGTACCTCGTTCATCCGGACTGTATAGTTCTCGATCAGTAAGTGTTCCTCGTTCATCCGGTCTGTACAGTTCCCGATCAGTAAGGGCACCTCGTTCATCCGGACTGTATAGTTCTCGATCAGTAAGTGTTCCTCGTTCATCCGGTCTGTACAGTTCCCGATCAGTAAGGGCACCTCGTTCATCCGGACTGTATAATTCTCGATCAGTAAGTGTTCCTCGTTCATCCGGTCTGTACAGTTCTCGATGAGTAAGGGCACCTCGTTCATCCGGACTGTATAGTTCTCGATCAGTAAGTGTTCCTCGTTCATCCGGTCTGTACAGTTCCCGATCAGTAAGGGCACCTCGTTCATCCGGACTGTGCAGTTCCCGATCAGTAAGGGCGGAGTGTGATAAGGATATGTTATCAGATGTGTTCATATGTAAGGTCATTATGGGTGTGGGGGGTTTGGGGTGCCGGGGTACAACAGCTGATTTTAAATTAAACTAGTTCGAGGTACAACATGTCAGGCGGTTGATTATAAAAGTTCTCATAGTGCAGTTTTATCACAAGCTACCTTTCTCATTGAGGGTTGGGCAAAGTCCGTACAAACACATGGTGACTCAGGTAGACGTTCTCTTGATTCGTCTTCTTTTGCTCATTCATTTCAGCAATCCTTCTGTCCTTGATGCCATAGGTCCAGAAAAAGGTGATGGAAATATGAACATCCAATAATAATCCAATACCTATAATAACATTATCTTTTTAAATATATTTTTTGTAAACTGAAAATTCAACATTTCTATTTTCTAACTTGGTCCTTTATCTTACCTTGTCAGTTCCGGATTAACGAACCTTTTGTATGGAGAAAAGTTCCTTTGTTTATCTATAGGCTTATTCAAGATGAACCGCTCAAAAGACAGTCTGGATTAACGGATGACACTCTACATGCAAAGACATGGCCAATACTGTGTGAATCGGGTGAATGTTGTTTAACGCAACGTCAGCTGTATCTGTGCTACATCAACTGTAAATATCTGGAACAGGCAAACCTTGGACACAGCGTGAACATCGATCCACGCATCTTCCCGAGGCAAGGGAGTTAACTGACTTTAAAAGTCCAGTTTCCACCCTTGCCGAACTAGGCTGGAATTACTGGGCTCGATCGTTGCGCCACCAGTGGCTATTAACAATTATGCCCCTTCTAAGCCTCTCCTATGGACCAATCAGATTCCACTTCTCGTATCACTTGTGTTTGCTTCACACAAAATAGTGGCGACGAGTCAGGACGATCTGATCGATAATCAAGATCTATATTGTGATAAAACGGGTCTTACATCGCGAAATACATAAAATCACGTGAGCACCTTGATTAAAATCATGAAAGGATTTGGAAAATATCTGCTGACAACGAATTGGCGATGCACATGATTT